AAACGTGTCTCAGGATTTGTTCAGGGTCAAGTCGTACTACACACACTAAACCTTTATTTTATAAATATAATACACTTAATATATTTGATCTAAACAAACAACAAACCTATAATTTTATGTATCGATTTATAAGTAATACACTCCCAATCCATATTACCCTATTATTCCCAACCCAACAGTCTGAAATTCATAACTATCCAACCAGGTTTTCAAAAAACAATATTACAACAGAAAAATGTATATCTTCTCTTAGAAAAAAATCAGTATTTTATAATGGACCTAAGTTATGGAATTGACTTGACCCCTTTTTTAAATCTTTACCCAGTTTTTCTTCTTTTAAACTTAATATCAAACGATATCTGGTCTCGTATGTATGGTAATTCAGCCTTCTAACTTATGTATTAAAATAGAAACCAGACTACCTGTTTATGTTTTCAGTTTTTGTATTTTATTTTTATTTTAATGGTGGCCACATCTTAAAGTTTTTCTTAAACTTATTGTGGTCTCCATCCACATAGATTTTTTTGAATATGTTTGATCATGTATATGTTTGTTTTTGTTCATTATGTGGAAAATAAATCAATCAATCAATCAATCAATCAATCCCTGGAGAGACAGTATATCAGTATATTTCCAACTTTAATCTTTTTACATATTTGTCTATGTCTAGTCCTACGTCCTCTTTTTCTTTTTTTGACCTTAAGCACATTCTTATCTGAGTTTTCAAGAAAAAATACAATGATCCTGCCATCCTGCTAATCTCAATTGGCCAACAAGCTATAGACCACTACCCACTACTAATTGCATCTGCTGTTTTGCTGTTACGTAAATATTCATGCATTCTTGTTATGAGCCATGTTCTCTGGACGATTATCTCCTCTAACCACCATTCGTAATGTCTTTATATAATCTTTCTTTCATTCAAAAAGTGCCTCTTGAATTTTTAATTATTAAAATAATTTCCCATAAGAACCCCTCGATTTTCATCTATTTCCATAAGCGCCCCCTCAATTTCCACTCTGTTTTCATAAGCGCCCCGTTTAAATAAGTGCCCCGTTTGAATAAGCGCCCCTAAGAAAGTGCAAAAAATATTTTAAGCGCCGGGGCGCTTATTCGCGCGAGTACGGTATTCTTCAGACTCGGTTACCCTCCAATTATGCGGCTTGGAGACCACTCCAAGCCTGTGGTCTCCATTTAGAGGTTTCTAATGGAGACCAAACCCCGAGACCACCTAAAATTTCCAGATACACAATTCATTTTCTTGAAATTCCACACACACACAAGTAGATCATTTTCTTGAAATTCCACACACACACAAGTAGATCCTATGTAGAAATCGATAGCCACGCCTTCTAAATTTGACAAATCACACTGGTCATACGTCATGTTTTCTAGATCATCAAAACACAGTTGTGACGTCTAGTTGACCAAATCAAAGCCAAATACACGTGTACGTTTTTTACGTATGTGCTCCTGTCATAAGGTTGTCCTATAGGTCTACATTGTTATTCACCATTTAATCACAATAAAGGTAAAGTTTAGCTTCTATTAGTTGTTTTGTTTATAGTAATTAGTTATAAGCATAAACCGAAGACGTTTTCGTAACGAATGCTAGACTTGCCATTGTATAGAGGCCTAGGCCCTACCTAGTAAGTAGGTCTCGCGTTCCATCGACAGTTTACTGCAGTGAGTGATTTCGCCTCAAGTGACGTAACAGCTGTTAGGCAAGATTGAAAGCATTCATTGGGCCTAGCTAGTTAGGCCTATACTTGTCTGTACAGCTGTGCTGAATGAGGCTAGGCCTAGTTTATTTACTTTATTTTATTTTTTATTTTACTCATTCTGGCAACTATAAATACATATGAAAAACATTACAAACACGAAATATCAACAATTCACAAAAATATAAGAATAATAAGCCGAGCCAGCCAGGCCAGGGAGCAGCAAAAGCAACCAATCAATACTGTCATCTAAATTAGAGATGTGCTGCTTTCAGGAAAAATGAAATTCGAAATAAAAGAACAACAAAAAACATTAATTTAAATATCAGTAAAATATAATCATTTGAACAAATCAAATAATAGATAATAAATATTTTCTAATATTTGGATGGAGGGTATTCCACAATCTCACAAATCTTGGCCTAGAGGGTATTGAATATTTAGAAGGCTAGTCAGTTTTAGATTTTAAATGTTAAAATATATGGATGATGATTATTATTGATAATCAATTTACTAGAAACTAAACTCAAGTTGAAGTTGGAGGAATAAGCTAAACAACAAATATTGAAAATATAAAATAATCACTTAAATTTTTAAAAGACATTAATGTCAAAGTTCTCTTTAGGAGGCAAAGAGTTTAAAACTTGTGTCGGATGTTCCCTGTCATATCATAAATCTGGCGATCGTAGTGTGCTTTGAAAGTATACCGAGTGGCCTTGTTTTCAATTTGTGCTTTATTAACAAATAAACTCCATTAAACAATTTGTCTTTATTAACGAATAAACTGCATTAAACAATAGTATTTGGAAGAAACCTATTTAACTTGACATCCCCAGGAAATATGATAAATACTCCAAGAATCTTAAGGTGATTGGAATTCGACAAAACATGCCCATCAAGGACATACAATGGACGCACACGACTCCTTTTGAGTGTATGACTAATGACAGTACAATTTTTTGCATTTAAAAGCAAATAAATTAATTTTGGAACAGTTCAAAAACTTATCAATATCTCTTTGTAAAACCAATAGTCTTCATCAGATGTAATACATTTGGAAACAAAGGTATCGTCTGCATATGTGGCAAAGACCAGCCAAAACAGTCACTCGTCACAAATCCTGTTTTGGAGATAATGGCCAAAACATGCTGGAATTTCAAAATTTTGGAAATCTATTTTATTGCACTAAACTAACCTTTATATATACCTATACATCATGATATGCTGTTATTTTCCTCATTTTCAATGTTAAAACAACAATTTTTAACGATTTGGTGATGGTTTCTGCCTAAGAAATGCCCAAAATCATAAACTTTGAAGGCTGATTTCTCAAATATTGTTCTTTAAACAGCTGTATGTTTAAACTCGTTTAACTTCATAACGAAGTGTCAGATTTAAATGATTCTTTTACCATTTTATAGCTCTCATTTTACTGTTAAACCCTGTATTAATAACTAAAGATTGATTTTTCCGATGAGTGACTGGTTTGGCTTGTCTTTGCCACATATTGGTAAGACTTCAAGGTATTAAGATGCAAATGAAGGTCATTAACATAGATTTTAATGGGTCCTAAGACGGATTATTATAGAGGTATTCCAACTCTCTTTATTCAATCAGGAATCCGTAAAATTTCCATGCAGATGTTCCAACCCCTAGATCTAAAAAATCGGGAGACGGCAGAATTTGCAGGTGAAGGACGCCCCCATTCACACTAATTAGTGAAAAGCGCTCTCAGTGTCGAAATGTTTTGATATCATTAACGTTTTTCGAGGTGTCGAGTCATAAATGGTTTTTCACTCATATGGCCTAGTAATTAATTTCAACTTTTTTATTGTGCTAATTCCATGTTTTTTTACAGGCCGTGTAAGTACAACATATCTAGGCCTAAGGCCTAGCCTAGTCCAAGTTTTTGGAATTCGGGAGAACTTGAACAAATTCGGGAGATCGGGAAATAGCATGTAAATTCGGAAGACTCCTGATCAAATCAGGAGGGTGGAACCTTTGTCCATGTCATCTCCCGGTATACTGAGTCTTGTAAAATTCTCCCAAATTTTCAGAAACGAAGCCCAAGATACCAAAAAATGCGAATTAGTGGCATTTTGGTATCAACATACAGTTCCCTATATCACCGACAATCAACATTGTCAGCTCCAAAGGCTACCCTAGTATTACTGACATTTCAAAAGATCAGAGCATCCATGAAAAAACTTCAACCGGGGGACATGGGCCCCATGCGTCCGGGAGACAATCCACAATTCATCAGGGAGCAAAAAAAATATATGTATTTTCTGCCTATTAGTAGACTCTAAATTGGATTACGATAAGCTAAGCCCAACCATGGCCACTATTTCCCGCAACGAGCAAATCCTGCTGCCACCCCTGCATCCCCGTTCCGAATTTTGAGTTTCAGGGGTAGGAACTTCTGTATAGTCTTTATGCATCTTTTAAACTAATTCACTGTATAAATATCATTTTTTTTGTACAGCATTACGATGACCGAGAGTGATGATAGTGATATTGATTTTCAAAGTGCCGATGAAGGTGAAGAAGAAACAGAAATTTTAGAACTTAAACAACCAGATACAATCGACCATGAAGAAACAAAACCAAACCAATCAACAGATAAAACTGATGCAAATACTGAGGAAGGAATTAGAAATGTAGATGAAAGTAATAATGATGTAGAAGATGGGGAATCAGAAAATAAGGATAAAATAGGAAAAAATGTTGAGTTACGGGACGATTTAACAACGGATGAACAAGAAACCTCAAATAATGAAGTAAAACCTGAAGAAAGTATTGAGGAAGCACCCCTTTCTGCAGAAATTGAACAAACTTGTATACAAGAAGAAAGTGTAACTGTAAATAACAGTGAACAATCTGCTGAATTATCTGTTGCTCCTAGTGATCAGATAATAGGTAGACAGGTGGATTCACAGGTGGATTTGTCTGTTAATTCACAGGTGGCTGTAAATCCTGCTGGAGGCGATTCTGAAAGGTCAAATCTTCAAAGCCCACTAGATAGATTGTCAGAGAAGAGTTCGAAAACCTCTGGTGGTTGGGGATGGGGAAGCTGGGGTAAATCAATGTTCTCATCAGCTACATCAACAGTATCGGGACTTGGTTAGTATTTAATACCATTTTTGCTCCATATTTTTTTGTGTTCAAATTTGTATGCCCGTATTTAAACATGATTAATTTTAAAAAACAATAATATGCATTTCTTTCATGCATGTGGCAGGACATGGGTTATCCTCGGCAATTCAATCCGTTGAGTCGTCACTAGGAGTTCCACAACCCAAAGAAATTGCCCTTGAAGAGAAAACTGATGTTGAATCTGATGTAAACGGTGGAAATGAAAACACTACAAATGAGGAAAAAGAAAAGGAGGAAATTAGCACAGTAGAAGAAAAGAACATTGAAGAAAATGGTAAAGAACTCAGTAAAACTTCAAATTCATTTTAAACTAGACGCAGATATCTTAGTAAGTGCTTAGATTGACCCACTTCGGCTGATGCCAGGGAGCTTGTTATCTAAACCCATACAATAATTATAGTATATTGCAACATCATTCCACACCAGGGATAGAGAATGGCGCTATATAAATTAAGATTTTAAATAAAAAAGAAGAGAAGCGTTTGTCTGTTACCTATTAAAAAATTAGGCTAAACTGTCACTGATCTTAGTGTATTTTACACTTTAATTTTTTGTAGGCGAAGAAGGAGACGTTGGAGCTGATAAAAATTTTGCTGAGGAACCAAACTCTGGCTATGGCATCTTCTCCTTTGGTGCTTCTGCTATCACTGGCATGGTTGGTAAAACACAAATTGTTGTATTATGCATGACTGTTGCCATGTATATACCGTAATTGTCTTGGATAATCGCCCCAGGGCGTTAGAAGGATTTTGAGGGAACATGGAGGCATTTATTTTAAGGATGTGGTGGTTTTTTTTTTGTTTTTTTTTGTGTAAGATTGGTACATGTATTCTCAAATGCTCCTTAATATCACTATAGATATGGGACTACAACACAATTTGTTATTGTGCGATCATAAGTACTTATTGATCACTACCAAATAATGCAATAATAGAATGTAATAATAATAATAATAATAATAATAGCGTACAATAATAATGTATCCTGTATCCATCGATGCTCTTGGCGCAAACAAATAATAATAATAGATGGATTAATATAGCGCAAATAAACGAGGTCTTTATGCGCTCGACACTATTGTAGGCAAGACAACAAAAAAAAGCCAGAAAGAAAAACAAAACAATAAACACCAAGCTAGCACCCAAACTGAAGTATGGGGTTGCACCATCACTGCCAACCACAGATCTGTGTTTATGTACTCCATTTTGCATTGGTTATGTCCTGATCTTTTCTAGGATCAGGTTCCTGCTAACCTGGACCAAACAATACTAGCTAGTGAGGTGAAACAGAGAATTAGAAAAAAAAAAAGAAAAATGTAGTTATAAAGAGGCAATTATAGAAGTTTTGAGTCGCTTCTTAAAGATGTCAATTGATGCAGATTCACAGACTTCAACGGGTAGTGCATTCCACATTTTTCTCAAAATGATCTCTAACCATATGTTTTCAAACAGCACCCAGGAAAAAACAAAGTTGATGAACTTGTGTTTGATCTGAGTGCTCGGGAACAAGTGGATAAGCGTAGTCTAAAGTTGATACGCTGTCGAACTGGAAGCCAATGTAGGTCTTTGGGGTAAGCTTAATTAGGCATGCGACCAAGTTCAGATGAAGTTGTCATTTTTTTTTATAAGAGTGTCTGGATGTCCAAATAGGATACCGTTGCAATAGTAAAGTCTTGAAGTTAAAAGAGCATGAACAAGTCTTTTAATTGTGTCTTCGTTCAGGAAATACAGAGAAAGTTGTTACAATCGGTAATCTTAACTACAAATAGTAATAATGATAACTGCAACCCTGGTGCGGAGGGGTTCAGGAGTGCCTTTGCTTGCCCAAGGCAGAATTTCTAATTGGTTACTTCTAACGTGTGAAGTTTCCATTGATGGACTGCCCCTTAGGGGACTCCCACACAACTTCCCTTACAGATGTATTAACAATGATATTTACAGTCATTTAGGGGGGAATTTATTCGAGGGAAAAAAACCTTTTTGGGCATTTATTCCAGGGAGAGGTTTTTTTCCAAAAGGGGCTCTAGAGGGGGTGTTTATTCAAAGTGGGTTGTTTATTCAAATAAGCAATAACCCGCCGCCCTCCAATATTGATAATTTCGAATGAAAATGAAATTTTTTATTGGGCAATTAGCGCACCCACTACAGCAAAAAATTTCAGAAAAAAGTTTTGTCATTATTTTTATTACGCCCACCGCTGCCTTTAAATCAGAAAAAATAAGATATGTATATCTTCATATTTATATCAATTTTAGACATTTAACCATTACTACACTGTTCACATTAAACTATAAAATTTTATTTTTATTTTATCCTCCATCGGAATGTTTGCTAAACTATTTGCTAAACAAGAAAACAAAATTTGACAATCTTTAAAGAAATAAGTTTGCAAAACAAGAAATAAAAAAAGTCTCGCCAATTCAAACTTTCCAAAACTACCAGGAACCGCAACTGATCTGCCACTTTTTAGTTATTTTTATCAACATCTTTTTTAGTACAATCACATTGGTATCATTTTTTATTCATAATTATTTTTTGACAGGTCTCAGGTGGACTAGGAGCACTAGAGATGATAGGTAAAAAGACAATGGATGTGATCCAAGATGGAGATCCTGGACTACGAAAGAAGAGAGAATATTTTACTAAAAGCAACCTACCTAGTTTATCACAGGTAACAAAATTGCTGTAGGAAGTCCTAATATTGTAAAAAAAATAATCATAAATTATACCACTGTTGTGGACAGACGAGAGTAGTTGATACCAGTTTACCTGGTAGCTCAGACAGGAAGAGACCCTTAAAGGAAAATAAAGTTTCTGTACGAGCTAATCCACAGTGCTTTGAGACTCCATTGTAAAGTGCTATATAAATTGATCTACATTACTAGAAAACACAAGTATAATAATTGATGTCATGCCCTGGATTTCTAGCAACAAATTTCTCCAACCCATATAATTTATAAGAAGTACATTCTTGTTATAATAAGAATATGACACTATAATTTGAATCTCATTAGTTTTTTTTGATGACTGCACATAAGGTCAAAGGTCAGCAGTTTCATTTTCTTGCAGACATTGAAAGAAGCTGCCGAGGCTGCAGAAAAGACGGCATTGAAAGAGGAGGAAGAAGACGAGAAGAACAGAGCACACTACGGCATACTCTTTGATAAATACCAAGGTATCTTTCCAGAGGTGATGCCAGAGTTTCCCCAGTGAGGGGTACAAGATCCCCAACAAAAAGTCCAACCTCCCTGACGATAGGTCTGTGTTGCACTACTGGGGGTGTGGGGTCCACACTCACCTTAGCTACACATGTTGGAGTAAATTTTAAATAATATGTGTTTACTATTTGAATTGTGTTCATGTTTCATTCAACAACAGAAAGTCCGACTTCCTTGATGATAGGTCCATGTTCCAATACTGGGGGTTCCACACTCAACTTAGCTACACATGTTGGAGTAAATTTTAAATAATTTGTGTTTACTATTTGAATTGTGTTCATGTTTTGTTCCTTGTGGCCATATTACAAAGTTTGATGATGGTTTAGGCATTGTCATCGCTACTTGTATTCTGATGTAAATATAGCTTCAACAACAAGTGAAGTAAAATATTCTTATGAATGAGAAAAATTAATGTCTGTCCAGACTATTACACTTTATTTGACAAAAGCGTGTGACATGCCTAAATATTGTCATGATGACATCACATCATGACCATATATAGGCACATCATGACTAAATATGGGCATACAGCATTTTGTTGTCACAGAAAATTTGGTAATCTGGGCAGAGATTTTGTACTCTTTGTTTTGATTGTATTTTAATGTTTTTTCACTAGGTCTTTCTCATCTTGAGGCCCTGGAAATTTTGTCCAATCAGAGTGAAGGTAAAGTGCATTCTGTCATGGCAACTGTTACTGGGGATCAGCTTGAAAAACTCAAGACCCAAATGATTGAAATAAAAGATGCATTTCAACTGCAAGACATGGACGTGGAAGGTAATTTATTCACAATGATAAATATATTGCAGTACCAGTTTATGATATTAATATTTTTTATTGTTATAATACTTTTATTATTATTTTCAAATGTCTTCATTATCATGTTCATCATTGTCATTATCATCATTTATCATAAAAATTCTCATCACCATCCCGATTATCTACATCGTCATCATCATTATCCTCTTCATCATCATCATCTTCACTATCATCAAAATTGTCATTATAATCATCATCCTCATTTTCATAAACATCGTCATCATTATCCTTAGCATTATTTATAATTATTATTATTTCTCTCTCTTTAATTATAGAGGAGTATGAGACTGCTAATTATTTCTCTCTCTTTAATTATAGAGGAGGAGTATGAGACTGCTACATTTGTAGACACAATCACAGAACACTTGTTTATTCTGAGTGTTGCTGCAACACCAGACAAATTAAAACGGGTTAGTATTAAATAGTATTACTGGTTAATATTAAAACTGGTTAGTATTACTGTTTAATGGGTTAGTATTAAACAGGTTGTTAATGAAGTAAGACGATTTGTACTAATCAGGCTAGTATTTAGTTGGTTAGCACTAAACAGGTTAGTAATGAAGAAGTTGCTATCAAACAGGTAACAGGGGCGGATCCTGAAATGTCTGAAAGTGTGGGGGTGCATGAAGAGGAGACAACACTACCTTGAGGGGTTCGGAGGCATGCCTATGCGAAATTGTTGTTTTTCTAGGTGAACGGAAATAACATCTGAGGCATTTTGGGCGATCATTAATTTCTTTTTCTTTTTTCCTTTTTTTAAACTTTCCAAAAGGGGGAAGGCCTGATTTTAATAGATGACATGATTATAAGATGTTTTGTGATTGGTTTATATTTATTTTACATTCTACCAATGACATCATTGAAATATGTTTTGTGATTGGTTCATATATATATAAAATATAATACATTCTACCAATGATATAATTGAAATATGTTTTGTCATTGGTTCATATATATATAATATGTTCTACAAGTATTGCTAAATTGATTTTAACAGATGACATGATTGAAAGATGTTTTGTGATTAGTTCATATATACCTTCTACTAATGACATCATTGAAATATGTTTTGTGATTGGTTCATATATACCTTCTACTAATGACATCATTGAAATATGATTTATGATTGGTTCACTTTTACTGTATTCAGGTTCAAAGAGAAGCACATGAGTGGTTAGCTAAATGCAAACAAGAGTTAGAAACCCTGAAACAAGAAAAAGAAATAGGAATAAATCTTAGCAAGGATGCAAATAAGGAGGAAGATATAACAATAGTACGTGATGTAGCAGACAACAAGAATATTCAAGGTAATACAGCAGATGATAAGAAAGTTACTGATGGTTCAGCAGACGACAAAAAACAAACTGAAAATGATGTAGCAGACGACAAGCATATTCAGGCTGATACAGCGGACAATAAGAAAGCTACTGATGGTTCAGCAGATGACAAAAAACAAACTAAAAATGAAGTAACAGACGATAAGACAAATATGAAATATGATACAGCAAATGACAAGCTAGACATTGATGTTCTAGCAGACGACAGAAAAGATGCTCCATGTAAAGAAGCAGATAATAAAGATCACAAGAATCAAGAGGAGAGCGAAGAAAAATCAAAACCAATGCGTTACCTCGTTCCAAAGGTTAGTTGAATTAGACATACAATAATATAATGTGATGGGTAAGTGGAAGACAATGCAATTCTGTGAACATGTGCGCAACAGATCATTTTTCACAACAGATCATTTTTAATGACGATCCATTCTCAGACTGCCACCAAGAGTCAGCGGACAGCATTGAGTCGTCTGACTCTGACAGGAAGCAGACTCGTCAGCCAACTATCATACAACACACTGGGTGCCTGGCCTGCTATTATTCATCATCATTCATTTATAGTCATTGTAAACAGAATATTTACATAAAAATAGCATAGCAAGGGTTAGCTATGAATAAAGAATATAAAAAGTATAACAATAAATAAATAAATAACTTATAGAAGTATTTTATTTTAGATTAAATAAGGATGGTGTTAATTGCTTAGATGTTTAATTTGCATACTAATATACATGTTTCCAAATTAACCTAAATTTGCACAAATGATATGCGTAGTAATTCTGTGTAGGTATTTGAAATTTGTACGGAATGCAGTTTCTTGTTTGTTTTCTTCATACAGGAGATCCACGTGAAAACTATCCAGACGTTAGCAGAATTAACCTCCAGATGTATAGAACAGTTTCACAAAGCAGCAGAATTAATGCTGCTTCACCAAGCCAAGGAACACTCCAAAAACCCAATCCAAATTGCAGCTAGCCTATCTAAGTATGTTATTTTCAACACCATGTTTACACTATGAAATTATTTGTAAGATTAGTCTTTGAGTGTGTTTATATATACCAGCCAGCTGATTAAGTATAAAGTTCTTATAAAAGTACATGATTGAGTGAACAATTACTGATTTACAAATATACCTCCGTCCATTTAAACTCCATAAAAATGTTGTATTTTGTTTAAAAGAGAACTAGCAAAATGATTTTTTGTTCTAGAGTGGATTTTCGATATGCCATTAATAATAGAATCAACCTTAAAAATCGTTTTTTGGCTATTTTTTATGAAGTTATAGGCGATTATATACGATTTTACCATGACGTCACTGGCGAAAAAGTAACA